TTAAATGGTTACCTAAGTTATTCGTTATTACATGGAGGAAGTACAAAGCAAGGGCTATACAAAATGTTTAGACGTAACTGTTATAAAATCACATAGGTTTTTTAAAAAGGTTCCTTTTGGTTTTTTAAAAAAGGTTCCTTTTGAAAGAGTGTGGATTCTTTTTTATTTAGAAGATTTTGGTTAGTGTTTGAGTCTTAATTTCTTCATTCTAGGCCTGGTAACCTTGGGCAAGTCACTTCAGTTGAGATAATGATAGTATCTAGCCTCCGGGGAGTTGTGAAGAACCAGAGACATTATTTAAATAAAGATGTTTCGTAAATGGTAAAAAGATCCTAAAATATAAATTGGTAAAATATGAGAATTCTCTTGGATGTACTGGAACTGGTGTCTTTGGAAGAGTTCTATTCTATTCTAAGATTCATTTATTTTTCAGAAGTGCATTTTTTTTTCCAAACACTTTAGTATGATATGCACGCACATGAAACAATGTGCTGTAGCATTATCTGCATACTTAAAATGGGAATATTCTCACTTCATGATTAATGTTAGGGTGAGAAGCTAGCTCAAAATATTTATGGCATGTTTAAGGCTGATTAATCTTATGATCTCACAAACCTGATTTGTTTCACAGTTTTGAGGCTAAAATAGGATGTATGTTATTGAGCTATAAAGGTCTTGGAATGAAATTTTCTCATATCTTCATATTTGTATACGAACAAGCATAAGAAATGGCATTTTGCTGGCTGAGCTGCAGCACACACCCTGCTGTCTGTGAGCATTGGCGGGTGTGGAGTTGGCATGTGTGTATATGTGTGTGTGTGTGTGTGTGTGTGTGTGTAGGGGGTGGTCCAACATTTCCCCCAACAATTTGGATACAGTTATTGATCAGTATGGGGCTTTAATTCTATAATTGGCAGGAGAGAAAATAGTTTGCTTGGGTATGGAGGCTATGTGGGGGGAAGAATAGATTGATTCAGTGGAGTTAGTAGCATGGCGTCTCATTCCAGTCTGGCTCTTGGATTCAGGCTAATCACAGGAATGAGGTCCAAGCTGTTGGAACTGTATTTACGAGAGGATTGTGAGCCTCTTGGCTCAAGCAAGTGACACAAAGTCGAGGAGACAGTCATTCTCACCACTTCTGAATGGAGCGTTGCTATTTGATGAGTCTCTGGATACCACGTGTAAGCTAGAATATGGGTCACAGGGACCCCTGTGCACTGCTGGTAAGAACCTATCCCAGAGTGGCTCCTCGGGGTGAAGCATAAATGTTAGGGTTTAGTGAAATAAAGATTGCTCTTTGCACATAATCCCCACCCCTCACCCCTTGTATATAACCAGAGAAACCTATGCTAAGTGTCAGAATAATGGAAAGCAACATAGTCTTCCAAACAAAGAAAAAGAATAAATAAATAGGATGGATACAAGCTATGGAATAACACAAAACAGTTGGAAGTAACTAATGACATGGACATAGGGCAACGGGGACAGATTTTTAAAATATTGTATTGAATACGATAAAAATCAGAAGCAGAATATAATCACATAGTTAACATTCATGGAAATAAAGACATTACATATTTTAAAGGATCAAACATACCCACAGAAATATACTAAGCAAAATGAGCATCATGAGGAGAAGGGAAAGAAAGGAGAAATTGAAACTGGAGCTGGAGTCTCTATGAAAACTTCTGGTAAAAACAGAGGTCGCAGATACATCTGGCTTTGGGTTGCATGGCTATATTATAGCTACGTCCTTTATTTCATTTTCTTTTTTAATTTTTTCAAACTTAAATTTTACTTAGTTAACATACAGTGCAATATTGGTTTCAGGAGTAGAAGTCCATGATTCATCACTTACATACAACACCCAGTGCTCATCACAGCAAGTGCCCTCCTTAATTCCTATCACCTATCTAGACCATCCCCCACCGTGTCCTTTATTTTAAAATGATCTGCTTGTTTCTATTTTATTTATCTACAGGATTCCCTCTATTTGCTTACCAAATCTGGATACGTTTTAAAAGGTTGCAATAGGAAGATTAGTACAATAAGAATATTAAGTACCTGTAGGTATCTGATTTGGCAGCTTGGATTCCATTATATGGTAACTAGTAGATGACCCAGTACCTGAAAAATACTGATGGTCTATATATATGTATATATGTAACTAAGATATTAATTAAGATATTAAGAAGATGGAGTTAAGGTCGCTGATCAGCTGAATTTAAGATAGAGTAGCCTGGACTCACCAGGTGAATCCAGTGTAATTGCGATGATTAAAAGTGGAAAAGGAGGCAGAGTTCAGAATTAGAGGCAGATGTAACTAGGGAAGAATGGTCATAGAGATACAGTAACGGTGGCTTTGAAGATGGAAAGTGGGGGCCATGAGCCAAACTATTCAGGCAGCCCCTAGAAACCAGAAAATGCAAGGAAATGAATTCTCCTCCAGAGCCCCCAGGAACAAGTGTGGCCCTGCTTAAATCTGGATTTCTGCCCTGGGAGACCCATATCAGATATCTAATTTATAGAACTATAAGATAACAAAAGTGTGTTACTCTAAGCCACTAAATTTGAGGTAATTTATTGCAGCAGGAACAGAAAATTAATGTACTTTCTGGGTGTTTGTTGCTCTACAGGCAATAATCACAGGCCTATCTAACGATGTGCCCTCAACTTAAGCTGCTTGTACCTGCTGAGAATATCATTTCTCCTTTTCCAGGGTCCACTATTTTCTAAAAGCCATTAATTTTTAGAACTCAGAAGGTAGGTTTCAGACTAAACTATTTGAAAAATACAGAGTACTTATTAGTCATTCCAAAATGAGGAAAAAAGTCAATGGAAAATATTAATATTTCATGGAAAGAACAAACCTCAGGCTATTCTTGATAATTAGGGGGAAAAGTTTTAAAAGAGAATTAACTTTCTTATTTTAAGTTAATATTACAAAGTTTTAGTCAGCACTGAATTAATTTTGTCCAAAATTATAGAGCAACCAAAATAATGTTTTTTTGTCTTGGTTAAGAAAGTTTTGGAATTGGTATTATTAGGCAAATTTGTCAATAATAGCAGAGGTTGATTATAAAGCAACCTATTTTTTTTGGGGGGGGGACACAGAATGTCTAAAGATGATGATGTAAATTTCCCAAGAAATGGCTCCAACTATGATTTTTTTCTACGTTTGCCATTTTTTAAAAACTTAATTAGACTGTGTATGTGTGTGAACATGTGATAAAACCTTAAGTCCAGTGAATGTGGCTGTAGGAAGCATCTTAAGTGACCAGTATCCCTTCAAGGTTGAACACAGAGATATTGTTCAACAGAATGATACAGATGTGGGGGGTTTGGATCCCACCTTGTGCTCTAATAATTATCCTGAAGAGAAGTGGCAGGACATTACTAGTGTGCATCAAAGAACAAACCTAAATAGACCCAAAAGATGACGTTCCAGTAGCAAAGATTTGGTTTGCCTTTCTTAAATTGCTCTTGAAATAGCCATAAATGGACAAACAACTAGAAAACACTAAGATGCCTCAGTCTTTTGAGAGACTCAAAAATAGAACGTGCTATTTGAGCAGAGTCATGCTTTAACACATGCTCTGGGTGGAGAGAGCAATAGAAGTGCTGAGAATTTCTCTGGCAGACTTGAACCTATTTTGAGAAGGGAGGCTTGAGTTTGTGTGTCTTTATTATATCGAACCACTGCTAAATTAATAATTAGTGAGCCGCCTGTTGAAGACTAAAGGCGATGCTTTTAGTTCAGCTTTACATATTAGCAGGTCCATTTGTATACTTTTCAGCTGTTTTTAAAGACAATTATTTTATTGCATTCCCTAAGTTTTTTTCTTCAAAAAGTACACATATAACTTGCATAATGGAATGCTGTGTAGTTATTGTAAAGGAACTTACTTGGTGTTTAATAATTTTGAATATCCCTCAACATCACTTGCAAATCCTTTAGGATATTACTAATGGTTTACTTGGGGCCTACGGATCCAGCATCATTCATTCCCTTCAGAAAATGAAAACTCATGGGTACCTTGAAGCTAACTGGATACCCTATAAAGAATCAGACCAAATGGGAGTGGTGGTATTATGTGGTAATTATGGTTATACAGTGATATTAAAAGGGAATAAAGTGTATTGAATGAGTTTATGTGAGTTATAAAGTATTAAGGAAATTTACAAGTATTTGCATATATGTATCATTTCCCCCAAGTAACTCCACAGAGCTATATCTGTTCTGTTTTCTGTTTTTAACACTGCAAGTAAATTGGGCTTGAAATTTACTGCTTTGTACAAATGATGCACAAATATGTAACTTCATTTTTTGTACCTAATCTCATCTTGCTCTCAAACCCCATTCTTGCTGAAAATGCCTGACCTTGTCCATGAAAGGAGTCAGAGTTTCTCAGGTTTTAAAATGTAGTTACTTTGGGTCCATTACTCAGAACTTTAGGTGTTATCTCCTGTTTCCACTCTTCCCAGGTTGCATCTGGATGCAAAAGGAAATATTATAATAAACTGATATGGGGGAAAGAGGCACCTTGCTGATTGGGTCAGAAGAGTGTGTGACTTGATTTCAAGATTGTGAGTTCAAGCCCCACAATGGGTATAGAGATTACTCACATAAATTTTTAAAAACACTAAAAAAAGATATGAGGGAAGGATGACCACAGTGGGGGGCTGCTTAAGTGCCCAGAGCTGTTATCATTCCTAGTTGGTTTTATCACCTCTGTCAAGCTCTCCTGTACCAGTTCAGCCTGCATCCATCTCAGGTTGATGCCCTTGGGCTGCACCCTCAGCTGCCCCACCTGGCTGACGGAGCATGCCAAGTTAGATGCTGCACCCCGTGCCTCCTAAGAGACAAGAGACCTTCCAGGCAACAAGCTTCCTACCTAGGATCTGCATCCACCCCCAAATGATCCCTGGGGATTTCTACTGCAATCTCTCTTCTGAGAGTCAACTCAGGGGAGAGGAGAGAGAAGAGAGTCAAGTCCTACCTTGTGCCTCTCATGCTCTAGCGCTGGAACCTACAGTAGCCAGAAGGCATTTCTTCCAGGGAGGTGAAAACTTTCCTGATCTTTTCCTCATCTGATATTCTTAGGTCTTTTCACTAGTACTAACTGTAAAATCATGCTCAGATTTGTAAGCTTTGCTCTTAATATGCAAAAGGTTTTTTTTTTTTTTTTTTGGCTCTTTATATAATCTTCCCACATACCATCATCCAAGCCAGGCTTTCAACTCTGTTCCTTATAAAGGAACAGAAGGATGTTTAGGGAGGAGCCCAAAGCCAAGCCAGGTTCTTTGTTCCAGGCTGCCTCCAAAGAGGTGGGGAGCCCAGGGGTGGGGAGGTCCAAATTTATGCTCCTTCTAAAGAGTTGGAAGAGAAAATTCTTCATCCATCTGGGCATATTCTCCTTCTTAGAATCAGACTTGAGGTTTTCCACATACAGCGGGCCACAATGTGGCTGTTGGTTAGTGTGTTTTATTTTCTTTACCTTCAACATTGTAGCAAAGAAGAGAGAGAGTGCTTTTGCAGCTACCCTGTGCAGGGCAGATGGGTTTCTCTGGGGCAGAGAATCTCTGGTATCCTGGAATGCCAAGACCTCAGCTAATTTCAGGATTCCTGGTGACTGGCTGGAATTGAACACAGGACAGGGTGACATTTGTAGTGCGCTGTAATGTAGGCGTCACTGGGAGAAGCTAGGAAGGAACATTGACAGAGAAGCTGCAGACAGGCTCATGAAGGTGAGGGCATAGGAGTCAGAGCTGTGTCATTTCCAGAGCAAACTCATGAGTAGAGTGGGTGGGCTTTGGGTGGCTGCTTGCTGAAGGGGTGGGAATGTTTGAGAAGTTCAGGCAACAGATATGGAGCAGGGAGCTACTTCAGCTGATAATAAATTAATCATATTTGCTTTCATGGCCACTGGAGGAAGGAATCAGTGCCTTGTAAAATGTTTCCATCATCCTTTTGGAAGAGGTGAATTTCTCACCATGTTTGCCCTTTATAGCAGGGAGCGTTTATCTGTGGTCCTTGAACTTCTGGGGAGCCCATCAATGGCAACCAGGGGTAGATTTAGCTCTAACATTGTGTGTACACTCGTGTACATGCACCTTTGTGCATTTTTGTCTCAGGAGAGATTCTAGTATTTCCAGCAGATTCTTGACAGAGTCCCAGAACATTAAGGTCATACATTAAAGGGAATGTTACACAAACAAGTAATATATAACCTGTTACATTAAAATCCTTTTCCCTGGGGCACCGGGGGGTGGCTCAGTCAGGTTTAGCATCTGCCATCAGTTTAGGTCACGATCCCAGGGTCCTGGATCAAGCCCCACATAGTCAGGCTTCCTGCTCAATGGGGAGTCTGCTTCTTCCTCTCCCTCCTTTGCTCCCCCCTGCTTGTGCTTGCTCTCTCTCTTTGAAATAAATAAATAAATATTTTAAAAAATCTTTTTCCCTTTTCCAGGAATCCCAGCGAAAGGAAGAAATGCCACTGATCATGGGGTTCATTTTCTATTTTCATGAATCACTTTCATGATAACGCTCATGCAAAAAATGTCCACTTGAAAGAGAATAACAAAAACCCTAAAAGGGAACACAAGCCTGCCTTTGGCCTCCTGTGAATACCCTCGGAGGACCCTCTAGACAAATTATTGAAGAATTAAGAAAATCTTTAAATCGTTGGGATTTCTTATAGGGACCCAGCTTTGGAAAATTCATTTGTGAGCTGAGAAGCATGTGTTAGGATGAGTAGTAGCATGTGATAAATAATTTATGGTAAAGGGCAAGTTTCTGTGAGGAATTAATGATTCATCCTCAGGAGGCCTTTATTTACTATAAAAACCCGAGTGCCTTTTGCTGTTATCAAGCTGAGAATTACAGGGAAATCGATTCTCCACACAGACTTTCCCGATGGTCCCAATAAACCATTAGGCCCTCCCGGCCTTACCTTCCTTGTCAGTAGCTGCCCTGCGGTGGCCAGCACCGTCCTCTCCACAGCAATTAGTGGTAATAAGTAGGAGCTCACACCATTGATGGTGTCATTTGTCTGGACAGTGTGCAAGCAGCAGTTATGAAATGCCTCACAGAGCAGAGTGCTTGTACTTGGTCCCTCCCTCCCATCAATTTTCCAGGTAGCAGAACCTAATAAGGCACAAGGCAGGTGACGCGGAAACAGGGGGAACTTGGATGCAGAGCTTTCTGTCCTGGTCAAAAGGATCAGACTTTGCTTAGTATGATTGCTCAGAATTCCTTCTTCCAGCACCCTAATTGGTGCTTCTCCTTGATTAACCCTGTTGGTTGTGAAAAAAAAGGGGGCATAGAGGGGTGAGAGGAGAAGGTACACGATCCTTTCTTACCTCTCTTTCCATAATGGTGTTATTGATCTTATTCATGAGAGACACACAGAGAGAGGCAGAGACATAGGCAGAGGGAGGAGCAGGCTTCCCGTGGGGAACCCGATGTGGGACTCAATACCAGGACCCTGGGATCACGACCTGAGCCGAAGGCAGACACTCAACCATTGAGCCACCCAGGCATCCCCTCTAACATTTCTTTTTGATTCTTTCTTAGAGTTTCCACCTCTGTGCTTTGAGCCCATCTCTTCCTGCATGTTGTCCACTTTTCCTATCAGAGCTTCGGGCATATTAATCGTGGTTGTTTTAAATTCCCCATCTGACCATTTCAACATCTTGCCAGGTTCTGAGGCTTGTTTAGTCTCTTCAGACTGTGCTTTTGTCTTTTAGTGTGCCTTGTGAGTTTTTTCATTGATTGCCAAATGTGATGTACTGGGTGAGAGGAATGCTGGCATATAGACCATTAGTGATGATGAGGATGATGATGGCAGTGAGGGGTCTGAGGAGGGGACGTGTTCTCTAGCCCTATGACTAGGTCTCAGTCTTTCCATGAGCCTGTGGCCTCGAGGTTGTGAATGTCACAGGTCCTCTCTCTCCTCCCTCCTCCTTTGGTGGGACAGACAGACCAGGGTGGTTTGGGTTGGTTATTTCCCTTCCCCCAGGGCAGTTAGGCTCTCCTAATACCCCAATAGTTTGGAGTCTGGTAAAACAGTTTCTCTTAAGGGCTGGCCTTGTTACAAAGAAGAAAATACTCTGGCATTTTTCAAAACTTACTTTTCCGCTCCCCCTTCCAGAAGCAAGAGAGGAATTGCCTTTGACCTGTATTGTGAAAACCTGGCTGAGCTTCTGGAGGCAAATCCACGGAACCGTGTGAATGTCCTGGAGGTTTTGTCAATCGGGCTAGTCCACCCGGAACCTCCAGCAATTTGTCAACTGCAGTTCAAGCTTGGTTCTTACAGGAGTTTCTGCTCCAGTAAGTTGTGATTCTCTTATCAGCCTGTCTCTCCAATTTTGGAGTCTCTTGCTTTCCCTGTGACTTCACTTCTCTTACAAATCTGAGGCTTGTTGATTTTGCAGTTTGGCTTTCTCACTTATTGGTACAGTGGAGTGGCAACTTCCAAGCTCCCTGCATACTTGACTGAAAACCTAACCTCTGTCTTTTGAATAAGAAATTTTAACACATTCATTACACTTTATAAAATCATGTTGGAAATCTCTGCTATAAAATGATCCTCTCTGAGCAATTCAGCCATAACTAACCTCCTGGTTTAATTACTCAGAATATGCAGATGGTCCTCAAGATCATGTCTCTAATTGGTTTCTCTATTATGCTTTAGATTTGCTTGCCCATCTTCAGGCTAGAATGAGATGTTTGAAAAAGTGAACCTCAGGCTGTAATGTCCAAAACTGTGGCCAGTATCTCCTTGCTGTTATCCTGGGATTGTCACTTGCTGCCTGCTTTTCCAGCAGCATCTATGTTCTCAAGTAGTAGCACTGACATTTACCCAGTTCAACTCTAGCCTCATTGACCTTGATAGGAGACTCTACATTGGTTTCTCACCCCTCTATCCCACCTTAGCTTCATTTCTCTTATTCCATGCCCTTTGAATCCCACGTTTAGGTAATGTCAACCAGCTTGTGGTTCTCTGTGCATATCATACTGTGCTTTGAGAATATGTCTAGGGTTTTTCTCTTCTATATGCTTATAAGGTTTTCCCCATATTTCTTCCCCATACAGCATATTTTCTCCCCTATGAAGCATTTTTACATGTCTGGGGGAGAGGAAGTCCTGGTGTGAACTCCATGGTGCATGCAAATCATCTGTTTAAATGCCCATCTTCCTTTGTAGGCTAAACCTTTCAAGAGTAAGGACTATGTCTTATTCATCTTTATAGTGTCAATGCCAAGCACGTGCTAAATGTTCACTAAAATGTCACTTGAACAAAGAGAGGGAGAGAGAATGGAACTAGAATCTATTAAGTGCAAGATACTTTGCCAGGTGTTTTGCATGAGTAAGAAGAAAGGAGGAAATTTAAATAATAGGGAGCAAGTTGTGTCTTATTTTCCTTTCACTTTCAAGAAGATATTTGTCTCCCTGTTTCTGAAGAGATGCAATTAAAATATATAGTGTTGGATACTTTTCTCTGCCTCCACACCATGGTGGGGCAGGAAGCAGTGGTACAAGAACAAGTGTTGGTCAGGCCACTCTAAAGTATTAGTAAAGAATATTTGCTAGCAGGTTTTTCTCTTTTGATCAGGCCTTCCTACCTTTCCTCCCATCTGTCTCCCCATCTTCTCGTTATGGTTGGACGGAGTCTAAGATTTGTTGCTCTATCAATCTCGTAGGCTTAAGGGAGGAGAAGGAATTCCTCCAACTTTCCTATTTCCATTTTCCAACATCTCCCCATGTTGCATAGAATAGGAAAAGTGTAAGACTGAATAAAAAATAAGGTACAAAGTTCCTCAGAGTATTGTTAGAAGTTATAGTTGATTAAAATTTGAGAATATTACTTGTAAAAGATTGTCTATGGAGAAAAGACCCAGAATATGAATTCATAAATAAATAAAATGAATAATCCCATTTCCCATAAGAGACAGATAAAAAAATGGATTTTTTTCTTAAAATAAGTTAAATTGCAAGGAAGGAGAATAGGACCAATTGTGAATTTAAATGATGCCCAAAGATTGCAATTACAACTGCATTTCTTTTAAAGAGTGAAATATTTCTTCAGTATCACAGATTAAA